CCAATCAGGACCGTTCCACCATAACGAAGACGCTGCTAGGTCTAGTGGCTTGCAACCCCTTGTGCCCATATCTGCGGGGTTGTCGCTGCTGCGTACATGCCGCCAGGTGGCGTTTCCGACGAGTTCCAAGATCTCCGCGGTTCGATTCGAGACGAACGTTTTCCAAGAGTGGGGTATTTTTTCCAGCCATGCTAATACTATTTCAGAGTCCGACCATAGTACCAGTTTTCTTTGAGAGAGGTCGAGATGGGACTGGACAGCTGCGACAAGTTTGGCTAAGAGAAGAGCACCGCAGAGCTCAAGCCGGGGTAAACTAGTTGACCGAAGGGGTGTACCTTGCCTTTGGAAACCAGAAGAGGGGAAGAGGTACTGGAACCATGACTAGTTCGAACATATACGTTGGCACAATATGCCTTTTCTGAGGCGTCACAGAATCCATGGAGTTCAACATNAGAGAGGTCGAGATGGGAGTGGACAGCTGCGACAAGTTTGGCTAAGAGAAGAGCACCGCAGAGCTCGAGCCGGGGTAAACTAGTTGTCCGAAGGGGTGCTACCTTGCCTTTGAAAACCAGAAGATGGGAAGAGGTACTAACCATGAGTAGTTCGAACATATACGTTGGTTCAATATGCCTTTTCTGAGGCGTCACAGAATCCATGGAGTTCAACATGCTGGTCAGGAATAAAATTTACCCATCGTGGAACTTGAATGGTCGAGATTGTATGGAGATTGGTTGCGAACTGAGACCATTTAACAAGACGGAGGGGTTTGACTTTCTCGTCCCAGTCAGTTCCGTCGATCCAGAGCTCTTGTAAGAGAATCTTTGCCTGGATCATTATCGGCGTAAGCCACCCTGCGGGGTCAAAAAGTTTCGCGACAGAGGAGAGAATCTGTCGTTTAGTGCTTGCAGATGAGGCTGGGATGGAGTCGATCGTATAGGAAAACGTGTCTGTGAGCGCATTCCATTGGATCCCTAGAGTCTTTGTGGTACTTGCTTTTTCGAACTCGAGAAAATTAGTATCGAGCAAGTCCTCTTTCCTCATATTTTTGAGAATGTCTGGGTGGTTCGCTGCTATTTTCTTCAAGGGAAAGCCTGCTGAGTTTAGAGCCTGGATGACTTGGGTGAAAGATTGAGTGGCGATTGCCAGATCGTGGCTACCAGAGAGTATGTCATCCACATGCGTTTCTTTCTTCAGAATGGGGGCTGCCATTGGGTAGTTGGTTTTTTCATCTTGTGCTACTTGGTGAAGTGTGCGAATGGCGAGGTAGGGCGCACAATTTACACCGAATGTGACCGTTTTTAATTTATAATCTTGAATGGGACTGGTTGTGGGTGAACGAAAGATTATTCATTGAAAGTCCCGGTCTTCGGGATGTAGCAGTATTTGTCGGTACATCTTTTCGACATCACCATTAAATACAAATTTATACATTCGCCACTTGAGGATGAGANGGAGTGAGGGGGTTTAAAAGGTGGTTTGTTATGCGAGAAAGGGGGCTTTGCGGAGCTATTGGCCTGACCAGGAAGTCTCGTCTTCGGCAGGCGCCATTGATCAACTCTTTCTACCACCTCATAGCGAGTAGTCAGAAACTGGTTCATCTGGGACCAGTTGGGGAGGTCTTTTCTGGAGATGAGAGATTGTTCCCACAGAGTTACTGTGTTCTCCGGAAGTTTGGAGGTGACCAGATAAATGAGGATGGGGTCCCAACTCTCTGTTGAAACTTGCTGGGTAGCGAGGATTTGAAGGCAGTTATTTACAGAAGATTGTAATCTCTGTATATCCTCGCTATTTTCAACATGAATTGGTTTCAAATTCATTAGGGTTTTTATTTGGTTATCTACCAAGACTCTGCGATTTTCATATCGTGCTCTTAGGGCTTCCCATGCCAGTTCGAAGTTGTCATCACTTAACGGGAATTGTTTGACTATTTGGCCGGCTTTGCCTTGCGTTTTGTACCGGAGGTGGTACAACTTCTGAGCATTTGTGAGTTTTGGGTGGTTAANGGTACCGAAGGTGGTACAACTTCTGAGCTTTTGTGAGTTTTGGGTGGTTAATGTAGACCGCGGTGAACATGTCACGGAAGGACGGCCATTGTTCATAACCCCCGTAAAATATCTCAGTGTCGCAAGGAGGGACTTTTAAGCCGAAGCCTGTTTCTTCTTTGGGTTGTGATGTACCGGCATGGGGAATGGGATCACTCCTTTGTTTGAGTAACAGAAGTTGGTCACCTATCTGGGCTTTTGTGTCTTCATACATTATAAGACAAGACCTGTATTTATTGTACGCGGCTGACTTGAAATCTTCGGGGAGATCCTGATCTTCAGTTTCTAAGACCATATCGTAAGAGATTTGGAACCGATTCCAAAAGTTATCGCAATTATTGTCTTTTATTTTCAGACTTGACTCGGTGTTGTCTTGGATTGGGGTGGACTTGAAACGAGTACAGTAGTCCATGAAATTATCTGTTTCT